AGAACAGAATTGTGAAATTACGTTCTGGAAGACTGATATACTAATGAATTGTTTTACATCTACATTATTAATTTATTTCTCCTTTCAAAGTAAGAAAGGCAACTAAGGAGGATTAATGTTTTTACTAACCCCTGGACTTATCGTGACACAATGTGGGTACAGCAAACACCATCGGGTTAAAGTGCCCTGTTTCACTTTCCTGCATCTCCTGCATCCCACTTACAGCCAAAGTGGGCACAAGTCCAACAACTTCCTCTTTAAAAGTAAACAACGATGAAAGCATTTGGTGCCTTGAGGATAGAATGTTAACAATGGGAAGGGAAAAAACATCCTTGTCAGAGAGACAGCATGACAGAAGTCAAGCTGGGGACAAATGCTTAGAGCCCTGATCAGTTATCTTATCTAGGCTTCTTTTGTACAGAATTTCTATGGTCTTTATGAAGGATACACGACAATACTTTTAATAATGTTCACCTTCCTTTCTCACATTCTGACCTAAGAAGCAATGTTACTTTTCATGGGAAAATAAGAATTTTAGAATGAGATACATTCTACTGAAGGGATGATAGCAGTCCTATATCCTCCCTCTGCCACGCTGATCCAAGTCTGAGTCAAAGGAGAACATATAAATCCTCCTTTACCTCACATATTTCTTTTCATTCTTCCTTCACCCTGAGTCTGCCAAAACCAGTATCATTAAACACCTTATATATAACTTTAGCAGAGGTCTTTTAAAATGGGGAAATCCTATCAGTGAAATTCAGGCACAAAATTGATTAAAAACAAGTGTCAAATTTATTGACATATACCATAGGGGCAAGGGGACCCAAAGGACTGTCAAGTCTACCAAATGCCAGATAGATTTCCATGCTGACAACCTTTTAGATTTGACAGAAAAGGCTGACTGACTGCTACTATTCATTAAACAAAGAAGACAAGAGGTGTCAACATATTTATGCCTCAGAATGTTCTAATTTGACATGAAAGATACCAGAGTTTTATGAGACACCAGGGAAACATTTAAATGAGCAATATGTATTTTCATTAATGGAAACATGGCATTGTTACAAGCACTAAAATAGCAGTGTGTGAAAGGTACCCAAATATTTGAGGATGAACTGTAAGGAGTGTATGCTGCATGACCCGGGCTGACCTGAACAGCTGTCCAAAAGAAAAACAGCAGGACCACTGAAGCAAAGATATTTATAGAAATGGTAAAAAAGGTTTGCTAAGGAAAAGAGAGGAGTTTAGAAGAACTCAAAAAAGAATTAGAGCCCTTCAATTAAAAAAAAGAACAAACAAAAACATGGGGTCAGAGGACAGAAAGTCCAAAGATCCACTGGACATCCAAGTTCCTTTTTCACGTCAGGGACACATTTCCCACCAGATAGCAACCAAGTATATTTCTAGCAATCCTCCCAGAACTGATACCCCTTTCCCTTTATCTGAGGTCACAACGAAGTTTACTGATGCTAAATCGGTTTTAACTTTGGATACAACAGATAAAATCAAAACTAAGAGAAAATAACTGAGTTAGGGCTTTAAATTAGGTTGAAGAGCCTAAGAAAGCTGTAGTCTTCAGCTTAGGCTTTCTTGACTCAGCAAGGTCCATCATACCAATTGAACCCACTGTTAGCAAAGATCAGTTAGTCTATGTGATAACTTTGGAAAGAACAAATAAGCTAACAAGCTTGAGCCTGACGTTCCTTTTGTTTTAACATCCAATCAGTAAAAATCTTCCTACAGTTTCTTTTATATATAAGAGAAATCAGTAAACTTTTAGGTTGGGCTAGATAGTATTTTTAGGTACTTGTAGATAAACTGTAACTGCTGTCACTAACAGTAATGTAAAGAAACGATTGTGTTGGGCATGGTGGCGCACGCCTTTAATCCTAGCACTCAGGAGGCAGAGGCAGGTAGATCTCTGTGAGTTCAAGGCCAGCCTGGTCTACATAGTGAGTTCCAGGACAGCTGGGGCTACAGGGAGACCCTGTCTCAAAAAGACCAAAAAAAAGAAATGATTGTGTGCCAATAAGATTTTATTACAAAACTCGGTACAGCAGGTCCTACTGAGGTCATGGTTCTCGAGCACAGGGTTCCTTACTGTGATCGTAAACACTGACTGTCCACTTGACTGGATTAAGAAACACCTAGGGCATTAATATGGTGCATCTTTGGTCGTGTCTGTGAGGGTGTTGACAGAAAAGACTAACTGAAGGGGAAGTTATACCCTGAATGTGGGCAGCACTATCCCACCTATGGTCCTGGAGAAAGCCCAAGTGCTGGCCTTCCTTTTCTCTCTGCTTTCCAGTCTGTGGAGATGTGAGCAAGCAGTCTCTGGTTGCCAAGGAGAGAGTTGGTCTTGTCCCCAGTGCCTTCCCCACAGTGACAGAATGATATCTCCTGATCCATGAGCCAAAATAAGCTTTTCTTCCTTAAGTTACTTTTTATTTATTATTGGGGAAAACTGAAAGTGTTCCAGTAGAATCTGCAAATAAAGCCCCTCTTCCAAAACAAGAAGCTGGCAAGATGTCTCTGTGTGCCACCAAGTCTGACAACCTGAGTTCCATCCCTAAGACCCACATGGTAGAGATGAATGATTCCTGCAAGGTGTCTTCTGAGCCCCACACATGCACCATGCAGCGAATATGCATGAGTGTACACACACAAATACACACTTTACAAAATCCCCCACAAAAATGGAGAATTCGATATTTTGAACACCATTATATATTTGTTTAAACTTTTTTTTATTATCTTTATTTTATGTGTTTGAACATACTGTCTGAATGTATATAAGTGTACCCATGTTGTACAATGCCCATGGAAGTCAGAAGAGGACTTTAGATCCCCTGGAACTGGAGTTACAGATGGTTGTTAGCCACTATGTGGGTGCTGGGAACTGAACCCCAGTTCTCTGAAAAGGCAGCCAGTGCTCTTAAGCAATGAGTCATCTCTCTTGTTTGCTGTTTTGAGACAGGATCTCTGTAAGCTGGTCTAGAACTCGAAATATAGACTAGGCTGGCCTAGATGAGATCCGCCTGCCTCCCCTCTCAGGTGCAGGGACTAAAAGTGTATACTGCCACACCTAGCAAGCACCATTATATTTTGACAAAGAGTTACTAGACATGTCTAACCACATTGTTTTCTCATGTTGATAGACTGGTAAAGTAATAGAAAGGCACTGACATAGACAACTGACATTGGCAATCATGGACTTGAATCTGCAGCTGCTACTTGCTATTTTTGTAATCTGTGGTGTTTTTTGGTCTCTCTTTTTCTTTTCTTTTCTTTCTTTTTTTTTTTTTTTTTTTTTTTTTTTTTGGTCTTTTTGAGACAGGGTCTCCCTGTAGCCCCAACTGTCCTGGAACTCACTATGTAGACCAGGCTGGCCTTGAACTCACAGAGATCTGCCTGCCTCTGCCTCCCGAGTGCTGGGATTAAAGGCATGCACCACCATGCATAATCTTTGTTTTAAAACCACTTCCATCCTAATTTTTCTCACATGCTAAACAAGAGTAATACAACTCACAAAGCTGTAAGGTTCGTATCAAATCACACATGTAGAAAAATCTAACACTGTGCCTGCTTTGGTCACTGCATACCAATTATTTCAATTTTTTTTTTTTTAAGTTCAACAAGGGGGCTAGAGAGATGGTTCAGTGGTTAAGAATATTGGCTGCTCTTGCAGAGGACTCAGGTTCAGTTCCCAGCACCCACATGGCAGCTAACAACTGTCCATAACCTTCAGTTCCAGGGGATCCAACACCCATTTCTGACCTCCATGGGCAGTGCATGGTGGAAGTGCACTTACATACATGTAGGCAATACATTCATACACACAAAATAAAAAATATTTTTAAAAAGTTCAACAGGGGGTGGTAACACACTGCTATAATCCCAGGATTTGGGAGTCTAAGGCAGAGGATTGTGAATTCAAAACCATCTTTGGCTACATATAGTGGGTTGTGGGCCAAATAGGAGTATATAGTGAGACTCTGTCTCAAAAAAACAAAAAACAACAACAAAAAGAAACAGTCAGCTGGGCGTGGTGGCACATGCCTTTAGTCCCAGCACTTGGGAGGCAGAGGCAGGCAGATCATGTGAGTTCGAGGCCAGCCTAGTCTACATAGCGAGTTCCAGGCCAGCTGGG